TCTATCTATCTATCTATCTATCTATCTATCTATCTATCTATCTATCTATCTATCGTTGGTAAGAAAGAGCCTCTCTCACTACATAACCCGGTCTGGAACTCTGTGTAGCTATGTATGCATCTATCATCTAAGTATCCATCTAAATATCTGTTTATGGAAAGAAAGAGTCTCATTGTCACTACATAGCGCTAACCAGTCTTACTGTATAACCCAGGCTGGCCTTGAACTTAGAGATGGCCATGGTTCTGCCTCTAGATCACTGGGATTAAAATCACTACTACACCTGGCTGCCGCACACCGTCTAACCCATTAAAGTTATAAGAATTTAGGAAAAATGGGTGTCATGGAGCTAGAGAGATGGCTCAACAGTTAAGAGCATTTGGTGCAGAATCCTGAGGAACACCGTCTGAGTTCCAGCAAGGGCCAGGTTCCAGAAGAGGCCTGTAATTACATCTCCAAGGGATCTAACACCTTATTCTGGCATCCAAGTGTACACAAGTCTGTGCACCCTCACACATATGTATATACAAATACATAAGTAAAATTATTTTGGGGCTGGCGAGATTGCTCAAGCATTTAAAAGCACTGGCTGTTCTCCCAGAGGACCAGGGTTCAATTTCCAGCACCCACACACAGCTCACAACTGCCAGGGACTCCAGTTCCAGAAGGATCTGACACCCTCACACAGACATACATACAGACAAAACACCAATAAATCCTTAAAATTCTTTAAAAAAAAAAAAAAAAAACAAAAACTCAACATCTGTATTTAGCATATTAACAAATATACACTTGCTTTACACCAAAGTTAAATCAGAGAGGAGAGTAAAGTATGGTTAACAAAATTGAGCCTGATGCCTGGTCCTCACTTGTAGGTTCAGTATTCAGGAGGAGCAGCAATTCAAGGTCATTCTCCACAATAAAAAATTCCCTGTCAGCCGAGACTTTCTCAAAAACAAAGCAAGTACAAATTTGATAAGATCACAAGATTATTTTGCTTTTTTTTTTTTTAATCCAAGTAAAGTGAGAAAACACAATTACAGTTTCACTTTATCCTGCCCGATTCTGAACCAATGGCCCCAAAATTCAAACTTACCTCGACAAGCATCTTCAAAATCCTGGGTTATGTCCACCCAGCTTGTGTTACTTTTCTCCATTTTTTCCGGGACGCTAAGCTCCCATCCTGAATCACCATCATCCACAGCAGCTTTCATAACCATTATGCCTGCAAAATGAGCACGGGGGTGAGGCAGGGGGTATGGCTTGGGCAGGAACAACAGCTGCCTAAGTACTGGGTCAAAGACTTCCTAAACTCTGTAGGCAGAACTCTTTTGACTCCATTGGACGGTACAGCAAAATAATAGCTCCGTGCAATCAGACCTCACGTAAAACGCCACTGCTGCTCACGTTCTGGGGGTCGCACCTTCCAGGACTCACAGTTTCTTCCAAACAGTTCAGAGATCTTCAAGCATCCCACCACAAGAATCAACTCCAGAGGCCGCGGCTTTCGACACTGGCCTCCAGGAACCAGAGCCGGCCCCTCCACTCAGCAGCAGCGGAGCATCCCCTCACCTGGCGGGCTTCGCAAGACCCGGGCCTGGCCCTGCCCTACACCCCGGCCCGTGGAGGGAGCGCGGCAGAGGCGGGGACGCGTTTACGCGGTGCTCGTGGGGAAGCGGCACCGGGCGGCCCTGGTCGCCCGGGCACTGGCCGGCCTCGCGGCGCACGGCCCCGGCTCCGAAGTGAGACGCGACGGGGAACCGGCCGCCGGTGCCCGCTCCCCGACGTCCTCCACACGCGACTTGCAGGGTCGTGCCGGCCGCACACAGGCCAGCCCGGTCACTTTCCCACGACCACCGCGCCACCACGGACCACCCGCACCACCACGCACCGTCCGCGCCACGAAGATAACGACTCCGGCACCGCCGCCGCCGCCGCCGCCCCCGCCCCCTCCCCTCTCAGTCCCGCCCCGCCCCGCCCCACCGGCAGAGCGCGCGCATGCGTGGGCCCTGGGCGCGCGACCCCGCCCCCTTCTCTCGGAACTCCGGGCTCCGGTCACGCCCCCTCCCTCACCTAGGCCACCATACCCGGGTCAACGGCCTTCCTCTCTTCTCGCGGGATTATAGCCCATCGCGAGACCGAAAGCCACGCTCCGTTTCCCTACCCCACCAGCCGAGACCTGGCCGTGGGCGGGACCGAAGGGAGGCGGAGCCTGTGAGCTTGCAGCCCGCCTTATCCGGCTGAGCTTCCGGGGAAACTGTGAAAGGTGACTGTAGGGTGAAGCGGTGGGGTGGAGTTTCCGATGGGAAGCTGCCGGCCATGCTGCATTTTGGTGATAGTGCAAGTTACGTCTTGTAGTCACCTGCGCGAGGACTGCGTAAGGAAAAGAAAAAAAAAAAGACATTTATATACAGCTAGCAATTTTCTTCCGAATTCAGGTGCTTTAGGTTTTTCTTAATAAGCCAGACCTCAAGTAAGTAGATGTTGTGTGGGAATGGATGGAGCTAGGGAGATAATCCAGGCCCTGAATTAATGAAGAAAAAGGACATGACTGCTTCTAAGTAATGTTGAAGGAGACAGCATATTGTAGATATGAAGGTGAGCATAGCCAGAGGCAGAGACGTCTGAGAGAGTCCAGAGTGAACATGACCCTGAGCTGGCCATGTGAGGAGATGAGGGAGGAGAGGGAAGAGGCCAGGAGGGAAAGGAGTTGTTTTTTTTTTTTTTTTTTTTTTTTTTTTTTTTTTTTTTTTTTTTTTTTGTTTTTTTTGTTTTTGTTTTTAAAAAGGACTAGGCTGGATAACATAGGGAAGGGCAGCTGGGTAAGTGCAGACTTTTGGGGTAGGGCGCAGGGTGTGCCAGGCATACCCTGTAACAGGTACAGACTGAGGGATGCTAGGCTAACCTGACTTCAGGTCCGCTTTGATATATTAGCTAGGTACCTCAGTTAGCCATTTGTCCTAGATTTGAGACCTAACGCTGAATATGACACACAGGTACTCTGTCATTGAGCTGTATATACATCCTCAGGCTTCACGTTGATTATTTAATTTTTATTTAATTATTATTTGTTTTTGGAGACGGAGTTGCTCTGTATAACCTTGACTATCCTAGACTCTTTGTAGATCAAGCTGGCCTCGAACTCCAAGAGATCAGCCTGCCTCTGCCTCCCAAGTGCTGGGATTAAAGCTGTGTGCTACCATGCTCAGCCTGATTATTTAAATTTTTTTTAAAAATTATTTTTCACATAGAGTGTGTTTCCTGTGGACAAGAACTTTGTTTTTATTAAAACTTTCCTAGCAGGCTGGAGAGATGGCTCCAAGGTTACAAGCACTAGCTGTTTGTTCTTCCAGAGGTCCTGAGTTCAATTCCCAACATCCACATGGTGGCGCCCATGAGATCTGGTGCCCTCTTCTGTCGTCCAAATATACATGCAGACAGAACATTGTATACATAATAAATCTTAAAAAAAAAAAAAGTGTACATGCCTTGAATCTCAGCACTTGGGAAGCAAAGGCAGGCAGATCTCTGTGAGTTCAAGGCCAGCCTGGCCTACAAAGACAGTCTAGTAGAGCCAGGGCTGTTACGCAGAGAAACCCTGTCTCAAAAAACAAAACAAGAAACAACAACAAAAAAAACTGTCCTAGCACCTAAGACATATAGATAGTTTTCACTGACTACATAGAAGACGAGAATGTAAAAAAGAAAGTACAGAAACTAGTTTGATGATCTTTTGAGACTCCAAAAGAAATTAGAAAAATGTGAACAGGGTGCATCTGAATTGTTCAATATTGTGTATAAGAGAGTGGCAAACACTAATTTCATAGATTCATTGCGGGGGGGAGTGTAGCTGGAGAGATGGATAATCTGTAAAGAGTGATTCCTCTTCTTCCAGGGAACTTGAGTTCTGTTCCCAGCACCCACTTCAGGAAGCACAACCACCTGTAAGTCCAGGTCCAGAAGAGCACCAGCATACAGGTGGTATACATATATATATAATATATATATATATATATATATATATATATATATATATATATATATATATATTCAGGTAGACACAGACATATACACATATATAAAATACATCCTTTACAATTAAGAAGTTATAAAGTATAAAGCTCTGTGTGTGCATATGCATGTGTGTGTCTGTGTTGCCGGGGATTTTAACCTAAGGCCAAGTTTTTTTTTTTTTAACAAGTGTTCTACCCTGAGCTAAATCCTATATACATTTTTACCTCTAGATTACTCGTTAACTAAGACAATGTAAATGCCTTGTCAGTGTTTGTTGTATTGTTTAAGGAAGGATTACCCCCAATATTCTGTGCATGTTAAAAATATTTTTCTGGATGTTTTTCCTTCCTTTTCTGGATCCATGGCTGTGGAGTTCCTGTAACTGCTGAGCTAACTATATTCCTTTCTTTTTCATAGTAAAGATTTCTCTACTCCTGACCACTGACTTTCGAATGGTAGACCAAGGTGCTATGCTCTTAGCAGGGACTTGTCAAATGCTGAAATCATTGGATCTCTCTGGGCCGTTTGTCATGAGCTGGTTCGGTTTCAAAGAGGAGTATCTATAACCCAGGGCCTTCGTGGACAGATATGCACACTGGATACTGCACAGCTATAGTGTGGGCATTAAAAGCTCCCCAGAGCTTTACCACCTCACCCTGTTCTCAAAGTCTGCCACCACCAGCTGTTGGGATTGGAGAAAAGAAAGCTGGGATGTGGGCAAGGACAAATCTCAACATCCATTATGACATTCTGCTACATTCTCTTTTACACAAGATACCCTGTCTCTATTGAATTATCCCTTTGCCATCCATGACAGCCCCTTGCTAACAACTCTCTCTGCTTTGCCCTTCCCAGTCTAAGTGGATTGAGCAGGGGCAACAGGGAACTACATGCAAGCGGGAAGGAGGTGTCGGGTCTTACACTTCGTGAGCATACCCTTCATCCTTAGAGAGATGTCTCTGTGAGTTCCTGAATGCACAGTGGTATGGGTATGTGCTGCAAATAACCTGATCCTTCGGAGCGATCGCTCGAAAGTCCCTCTGTCTGTCCATCTCTTCAGCTGTACTGTCTACTGTTTCTTCAACCCTGTGTCTTTTACAGAAATCCATACATTTTCACATCTCCACATCAAACACATAACTGGTTTTGTGAGTTAAGTGTCTGAATATACTACATCCCAGGGTCCTTACAAATCTGTGTTTTTGAGACACGGTGAATGGGACACACAGCCTTACTTGTGCTGTACAAGTGTTCTGTCACTCAGCTGCATCTCCAGCCATCGTTAACTTTTATTTTCAGAGAGGGTCTTACTATATAGGCCAGGCTGGACTTGAACTTGTAACTCTCCTGCCCAGGACTCCCCTGCAAGATCACAGGCCTGTGCCACAAGTGACAGACTATGTCATTTGCAGAGTTGTAAGAATCAGAGTTTTGTGAGCTGAAAAATTACATAATGCATGACTGTTTTCAGTGTTTTGATATCTCCATTGTTAAGTACTTCTTGTCTTATTCACTTGGCTATATGCAAGAATATTTGACAGCTATGGGACCCTTTAAACATATATGGAGGAAAAGATACTTACGTTGCTCTCTTTTTAAAATCCTATTCAGTGACTTTAGTTTTTAAAGCTATTATTGTGCTTTAGCATCTGCATTTCACAAGTATTCAGCATAGATGAAGAAAAAGATGTTTTAGGTTGCCTGAAAGGCAGTCCTTGTGGTGTTTGAGGAGTTGGGATTTTCTGAACAGATAAGATATAAAATCCAATATTTTAAAATAAATTGGCCCAGATGCAGGAGGTTGCATGAGACTCTATTGTGTCATGACCTAGTGGCTTGGGTCCTGGAACCCTGGCTAGGAGCAGTGAGGGACTGAAGAAAGAACAAATGTATGGTCACACATACAGTAAAGCCGGGATCAGGTTTGGATTTTTCCAACATAATTGCAATCTAAAACTTCAGTGCATTTATTGGGTACAGCATAGGGTGGAGTTAGCTACTGTCATAGGTGAGCAGTCTCAGGCTATAAACTCCCAGCAGGAAGGAGCTACAGGTGCTAATATTTGCACAGAGTGATCAGTCATACCTGGACTCCTGAGGAGAACTTTGTCACCCCTCTTCATCCTGGCCCACATAGGGAACTGGCTTTGCCAATGTACCATGAGTTGGTGATCTTGGCATTCTCCACATGGTGTGTCCATGTGTATATTACATATTCACTCACCCAGGGCTTCATCTGTTCTCTATACCTAATCTTATAAAGTCCTCTGTTTGTCCTTTAAATGCCACCAATAGAGTTCCTACTGCTGTGAATAGATACTATGACCACAGCAGCTCTAATAAAGGGGCTGGCTTACAGGTCAGAGGTTTAGTCCATTTTCATCATGGTGGGAAGGATGGTGGTGCAGAGGTAGACATGGGGCTAGAGAGGTAGCTGAGAGTTCTACATCCCGATCGGTAGGCAGCAGGAAAGACTGTGAGGCCCTGAGTCTGGGCTTGACTTCTGAGACCTCAAAGCCTGACCCTCAGTGACGTACATCCTCCCAAGTCACATGTACTCCAACAAGTCCACACCTCCTCTAGTGCCGCTCTCTATGGAGCAAGCATTCAAACTGCATGAGTTCGTGGGAGCCACTCCTATTCAAATGCTACGCGTACCTTCAAAAGCTGTAAAATGGGTCACCTTTTTAAAAGTTTTAAAGATTTATTATTATCTTATGTACATTGGTGTTCTACCTGCTTTTATGTGCATGTGAGGTGGTCAGATCTCCTGGGGCTGGAGTTACAGACACTTGTGAGCTGCCATGTAAGTGCTAGGAGTTGAACTCTCAGGTCCTTTGGAGAGCAGCCAGTGCTCTTGATCACTGCACCATCTCTCTAGCCTCTAAATGGTCATCTTACCTTTTAAAAATTAAGTATGAAAGGTCACTCTAATCCACATAATCCTTATATATCTGGCTGGGTCTTTTGTAGAACTCTGTCTGTGAGTGTAGGCAATCATGAGAGTTTTACATTTGTAGAATGTTTTCATGTTTCTATGCCTATTTTTTTTAGATTTGCTTACTTTCCTCATTTTATTTTATGTGTAGAAGTGTTCTCCCGGCATGTATGCAAGTGTGCCATGTGAGTGCCTGGTGCCTACAGAGGTCAGAAGAGGGTGATGGATCCCCTGGAACTGAACTTCAGAGGGCTGTGAGCTGCCATGTGGGTACTTGGAACTGAACCTCTGTCCTCTGGAAGAACAGCAAGTGCTTTTAACTCTTCAAGCTCTGTGCCAATTATTTTTAAAATGTACTTGATTACAAACAAATGAGATTCATACTCATTGGTGTGATTCAATACATTATCTATTACATAATATTTATATATGTGTTTTGTATATAATGTGTTATAATGAGAGTAAACAAGTAAGAAGTGGTGTATGCCTATAATTCCAGCACTTGGGAGGCTGAGGCAGGAGAATCATGAGTTCTAGGCTAGCCTGGAAGATATAGAGAGACTCTGCTTTCTTTGTTTGTTTAGAGGGAGAGGGCACACATTTAATGATTCATTACACTTTGATAACTTGTTTTGGCAGAGTTCAGGCCAGCCTCAGGCTCATGCACTTGCCAGATAAGTAAGCTGATGATATTCAACAAGAACAGCAGTTTGAAGCAGAGCTTCATGCACGGGCCTTCTTCCAGGTCGGCTGGCTGGCAGGCATGCTTTTCTCACCACCTGGAACAAAAACTTTCTCTCCAAGGCAAATGAAAAGGTGGGTAGGGAGTATTTTTACTTATGACATGAAAATACAAAAACATCAAAGAAAACTATCAAAGAAGTCTACTTCCAGAAAAACTGAGGTAGCACTGCTTTCTCTGCATTCAATGCTTAAGTGATTTTCAGTACAATGTGTTCTTCGTTTTTTTTTTTTTTTAATACAATGTGTTCTAACAAAAACCAAAACAACTGCTCACTTGATTGACAGGTACAGCATGATGATGGATAAAGGTGAAATGCAATAGGTCAGGGAAGGAATGAGCACGAATTGAGGAAGATAAGGGTTTTGGCTAAGTTAGTTTAAAGGGTTGGGGTGGGGAGTCAGACTGCAAATGCTCTTGACTGAACATGGCTTTGGCTCTCCAAGAGCTCCAAACTGCCTAGAAATTAATGCAGTGGGGCTAACAGTTAATGATGTATTCATGTCTGTAAAATCTTTTAAAATAATTATTACAACCTAAATTCAGCCATGTAAACAGCACTACATACAGTGCAGACCTGCCCTGAAAAACAATGTGCAAAGCAGATCTGGCACAGTATCATTTTATAATCTGAGTTCAACCTAACATAGTGGCTCCACTCCCAGGCCCAGGCCTGCACCCTCCCCATAAAAACAAAACAAATCTAATCAGGTTGGGAAAGAAACGGCAGTCTTATTCTATCTGAAGCCTTCAAAGAAAGGTACACAACATATAGCCAGGTGCAGATATTTCGAGGGATTTCCCACCCCAAAAAACAAGAAACCAAATAAGTGAAGAAAGTTCCTAAAACATGATACAGCATTTTGAGCCCTTTCAAATACTGGGCAGAGAAAGGTGTAATGTAGAAAATACCCAGATCTTCAGTAATTTCCAGAAAGGTCCGCAGGCAGATCCTCAGTGCTGCTTCTGGAACAGAGCGACTGAGTCTGCTCCTCTGGACACAAGCCCTTGGGCCTAGAGCTGAGTGCACCTCTCCCTTCTGCTTCTCTTTTCCTTCTCTCCATTCCCCACTCCACAAAACAACTGGCCAGGCCCCATCTTCACTGTAGTTGCTGAGGTCGGGGCCAATCACCTGAGTGAAGTTAAGAAATATGTTCCAAAGTGTCCTGGGCAATGCCCTTGATTCCCAAGGGGTTCTCTCTTAGGAAACTTAGCCACTGGTCCACTACCAGAGAATTCTTCTGGGTAAATACTAGTTTCCACAGGGCAATGGCTATTTCACGATATAATGACCATTGCCCTTCTTCAGAGTTCAGGCCAAACTGAAATGTAAACCTATAGAGATTCTTGAATTTCTCTTCTTGTTTGGTTTCTGTTAAAAGACTAGAGAACCCTGTACAGATCTCATCAATGCTGTCTGCAGTTACTGCCTTACAGCCATCAAAAAGCTCCTCCCTGGTAAATTTGTACATGGTAGCAGCCTAAAACTTCCAGGCCAAGAGCAGCACTCGAAATTCCATAGGATCAACACATAGGTCATTGCAAAAGTGCTCATGCCTTCCTCCAAAATCACATCTTCCTGTTCATCCTTGTAGCACCTGAAACAGCTCTTCCAACCTCTGCAAGGAAGAGTCCTCAGCATTGGTCCTGGACTCTTCCCCCCCGCCCAGCATCTCCAGAAGATGTTGGCAGCTGGCAGGCCTCAGTGGCTGGTCTGCCACAAGATGGCACCTGTTCCTCATGGTGGCCAGCCCCAACCCCGCCCCATCCTTCCCCGCCTCCTGTGTGACTTCCTGCTGGGGTCCATGTCTCCATTCTTGCTGCCCAAGGTTGATGAAGTATTCTTGCACTTGGTGACACACTGGCCCATGATGGTGGTGGCCTGGCCTCTAGAGTGGACCCCTCTGGGACAGATGCCCTCGCTGCCTCTGGCCCATATACTTCAACATGCCATCAATTAGAGGAGCCAGCCAACAGCTGCTCCAGAGGCTCCTCCAGTCAAACCCTTTCTCTGGCTTTGTTTTCTTTTCTTTCTTTCTTTCTTTCTTTCTTTCTTTCTTTCTTTCTTTCTTTCTTTCTTTCTTTAAAGAAAACATGACTCAATGACACTTGGAAGGAGTAATTAGTGAAGCATCCCAAATAAAACCTACTTCAACACTTTCTTATAAAATGGATAAGCAAAACAAACAAAGCCACTGTCTATGTAACATATTTTGGATGTGGGTAAGAGATTATGTCCGTTACAGACCATGATTGGCAACATTAACACAGCTCTAGTTTTTAACCTCCATAGAACATGCAGGAATTAGGGCTGTTGAAAATATAGCAATTTGTGAAATTTAAAGTTAGTGAGGATTCTAAGAGCATGTAAGGGATATCTCTGCAGTAGACATGGGACACCATCAGATTCATTGTAGTGTTTGTCAGAGCCCAGACCATCCTGTAGCCTCTTTCTGTCACAACAGCTGCTGTGAAGAGCAGACAGGGTATGATCTGCAGCAACCTTTTTCCCACTCACAGCTGTGCCAAGAGCCAAGCCCACCATCACCACCACTCCTGGGAATGGGTTCTTCAAGGTAGCAATGCTGTAAGCAGAGGCAGGTTAAAGCTGCCAGGACCTTCAGGGGACTAAGCAGACTAAGCATTGTTCCTCCAGAGTTTCTTATCTGGAAATGGCTTTGGGACTTTCCAAACACCTGCCACAGCAGAATTAGGTCTAGGTGTGTGATAGGACCAGTTGCCTAGTTGTGCTTACAGGGGTTTGGCCAAGTTGCCTCTCCTAATCATCCAGAAAAGCTGAAAAGGGAAACTTAGACTCTAGGCAGCCCAGCACTTGAGTACAATGTGCACAACAAGGTTATACATTCTTTGATAACTGTGTTTCCATGTCAGCAGGGAATCCTGTGTCTTAAACAGCATGCTCAAGGTTGTATAAAGTACAACAGATTTATCTTCAGAAAAACATCTGATAAACGAGAACAGCATTTACTCTAACCATTCCCTAGAAATTGAGGAAGGTCACCAGCGTTCCTGTGTTCCTTCCCACATTTGTCAGCATTCTAGATTCCCTTCCTGAGAAGTATCAACATTATATGTCTCCAGGCCCTTGTCAGAACTCACTATAGCCTCACAGCACCTTAATTCAAACTCCAACAGTACACCTTTTCCTCCCTACTCTCTCAGAACAGGCTGAAGCTTTCCTTCAGAACCCTACAGGTGTTGCCCGCTGAAAGATCCCCGGAGGGTATCTTCCGTCAGAGAGACCCCCTCCCAAGGAACAACGAGGCCATTTGGATGCAAACAGCAAGAGGCTTTTATTTTGATACACGGGTACCCGGGGCGAAAAGTCATTCGAGAGACTTTCGCGCCCCCTGGGTGAAAAGCTGGGGTTTTTATAGGGTTTTTGAGCAGAAGCACTGGTACAGAAGCGAGAAGCATGGTTACAGGGGGCTGATTGGTATGTTTACATGAGACCACGATTTGCGTCAAAGTTTGGCAGGTGCACCAAGATTCCAGAAACTGGGTGGTCAAGGGGGTTATGATGACCCCTTGACGTGGCCCGCCACCTGTTATTTTATTTTTCTCTATCTTAACTGAAACAGTCTCACAGATATCCATGAGGGTGATTAACACAAACTGTTTTTAGTTTGACTGGGGCAGCCTGACCACAGATATCCCAAGTGGGTGACACAGCTAGGTTTCTCAGTAATTTTCCAGTTCCCCACCTAGCCTATAGAGTTTTACAAAACAGTGGTGTCTCACAAAATGGCGTTAGCTATGTTTAACTTAGTGTGAGGCTGGGGTCTTTCATTCCCCCATTTTCTTTTAACTTAGAATGGAATCTTCCATTCTCAGGCCTAGGAAGAGTTAACTTCTGTCCCCTGCTGTTTGAGCTGATGATACTGTTGGGTTAACACCAACGCTTGTATGACAGAGAGCCGGTCTTTCATGAACTGGATCAGCCAATTCAGAATACAAGGCCCAACTAGTAGAATCAGGAGAATTATGATTAGGGGGCCCATGAGGGAGGAAACGAGGGTGGTGAACCAGGGGGACCGACTAAACCATCTCTCGTATCAGCTCTGTCCTGACTCAAAGAATTGTTGTCTCTATCTGAGTCTTTTTCTGAGTTTAGCCATGTTATCTCTTATCAATCAAGTATGGTCAGCAGCTAAGCAGATGCTCAAGATAATAGCTAATGCCAGGGAGCCACTTTTGACTTAGCATTTCAGCCTGTTAGGGGGGATTTGGGCGGAGATCCGTCTTCTGGAGCTTCTTCGATGCTGACCGTTGGACCGTAGGCATCAGGAACTAGGGAGGCTGAAATGCCAGTCAAAAGGCTGGGCAATAGGGCAGTCCCAAGCATCTGGTTAGTTGATCCACCGGAAGAGGCAGGGAGCAATCAGGTCAGTTTTTAGGAAGTCTAGATCTCAGCTTGTAGTCCACAGCTGATCCCAGAACAGAGTTGAACAGGTGAAAATCTGCTGAGACAAATTTAGACTGGAGACAGAAGTTAAAATTTATCTATTAAATTGGAAAGATCAGGGAAAATCTCATCTGTGATCCTTTTGAGCTATGTCAGATCCAGGTCAAATCCTGAAACTTATATGAAAATTTTTTAGTACACAAAAGGAAATATATAATTTTAAATACTCAGAAAAGTAACATATCAGCAAATTG